AAAGCACTTCCCTGAACTCAGATCATGAGTTAAATGCAGACAGCATCATTGTCCTGACTGCCTCATAGGTTTGTTGTATGTATGCAGTTAGATGTTGTGCACATTGTTTCACAGCTTATTCAATATGCACCTATTGAGGGGCCAGTCAACAGCAAGTTCAATGCTCAATGCTAAGAGTCTATGCTAATATATAAATAGAGGCAGCATTGCAGTTAATTGCATTTTCTTGCTAAACAACAAGCTCCTGTTTGTGTTTATTCTTATCAAAAGCTTTCCTGATGTATTTGAAGGTACACTTCTATACTAGTATGTACAGCACAGGAAACAGAGCATGCTCTTCCTAGAGTGCTTCGGTCATGTGTAGACACAGACAGTCTGAGTTACGCGAGTTGTGGACCAGGAGGTTGGAGGAGGTGGGCCCACTGGCCATGCGTAATTCCCCTCCTCTGCATAGACACTGTTCTAGCACAAATCTACCATCAGCTGCTTTGGATATCATCCTGGCTTCCCACAAAGTGAGTTTTTGGAAACATGGATTTTTCTTAAGTATCAGTTTTCCAGGTTCTAATTTGCACGTTTGGCCAGAATATTTAGAAAGGTATATCGCCAAAATGAAGGTAGTAGATATACTACGAAATACCCCAGATATGCGGTGAGCCTCGCATTTGGAAATCATAGTGATGAAAGGAAAGAAAAAGTTTTATCTGTTTTTTAAAAATCTAAATTCATGATAGATTTGTGTGACACATCATTAATAAGCTTTTGGTCATTTTTTCCTTTAGTTGTTGTCTCCCAAATTTTTTGTGCAATAAGTTTTTGTTTTTTTGGTACTGGGGATCTAACTCGGGTAGTTGCGCTTGCAAGGCAGAAACCAGAACCACTAAGCTAAATCCCCAGCCCTGTGCAATAAGTTTTAATAAAATCATGACTACTAAAATTGTGAAACTTTGTTTTTTTAAAAAAGAGGCAGGGGTATGGGGAAAAAATGAAAACCAAGACCTGTCATGTAAAGGTACAAGATCCCAGTGATCAATGTAACTGTACTGTATACCTAAAAAGTACCAATAAGCTCAATGAGGGAAAAAAAAGAGAAAATAATACATTAAAAACTCTAAAAAATAAAAATAAAAAAGAGAAATTGAAAGTAAACTATCAAGTATTACAATGTTGAACTAGTAAGGATTGAAGTAAATGAAATAAGATTAAAGGAAAAAGAAAAGCTACCTGAATCTGTAAGTTACAAAAGTTTTCACACGCTGATGAGATGTTACTCTTAAAGCTGGAATAGCTCATAAAATATTTAGCAGTTTAAAACTTTAGAAGAAGCTGGTGAAGTTTTAAATGAAGTAAAAAAGCATCAAATTTAGAATTTTCATTACAAAATTTAAGCCAACAAATTGGTAAGTAGCAATAAACCACAAAAGGACAGTGGGATTAACTCTAATGTATTAATAGCCTTGAATTCATTTGTCTTTCGAAGGACTTACATAGGAAAGCCATTTCAGAGGCTAGAATATATTTTCCTAATTAGAGGAAGGGGGCTCGACTGGTATAAAACACTTTCCAATGCATGAGACAATTACCAATATTAGTAAATGCAATAGCATGAGGTTCCGATTAAGGATAATAGTAATAAAAGAAAAGAGCAGAGATAATGCAATGGTCATGATTTAGAAAGATGAAGAGAGCTTTCTCAACACCACCTGTAACCTGAATTGTGTAAGAGGAAAGACTGAAAATGCTAATAAGGAATATGATTAAAGGTGGGCCTGTGGTTATAAATTGCTTTTTTAATGGTGATGATAGTAGCTGACACAGAGTATAATAAGAAGATGAGAATGTCAGTATCAATTTTTATTAGTGCCATGAACGATATATAGTATATTTAAATTAGGTTCATTTGTATTAGTATTTTTGTAAGTAGTCTCTCGGGAAGCAATAACATATCTAATGCATTCTAAAAAGAAAGACTAAATAAAGTTGCCAATGTTCTCTACAAAATAGCTATAACTTTTACACCAGGGAAAATTTGCTGCACTTCCTAAGGATACTCAGAATTCAGGCATATGATTGTCATTCTGGATCACAACAAATTTAAATTTGTAGTAAATTGGAAGATCAGTTATAGAGAATGGATGGATTTATATAAAAGTTATGTAAAAATTAAAAAGACACTAAAATATAAGCTTTCATATAGATTAATACTTTTCCATCAAGATTCATATAAGACATTAATTTGATTCCTTTTCTGGGTCAGTTTAAAGCACTTAAGAAATAGCTTGGCAGCCATTCAGCCTAAGCACAACAATTGTTTAACATAAATATTAGCACAATTAAAAATGATTGGTTAGTAATTTCTATAAACTGATTCTTATTAAAGAAAAATAGGGAAGTTTGTTTGTGAATTTTCCCAGCAATTATCACCACCTTTTTTTCCATTTTTTCCCATTATGTTTACCGGTACATTTAAGGCAAACAATACAGTTACATTCATCACTGGGATTTTGCACCTTTACCTGATACTCTCGGTTCTTATTTTTCCCCATTCCCCTGCCTATCACCATCTTTCTGAATTGCTCTACTAACAAATTAGGCATGGAATATTTGACAAAAATAATTTTTAGAGAATTAGGATAATTTTTAAATAACATGTATTATTTGTCAACATTTTAATAAATGAGGCTGTTGAAAGATAAACCATAAGGTTTGAAAAGTGGAACTTTGAAAATTTGGCAGGTTGAGGACCTAAGCAATGAAATATTTCTTTTGATTTATATTCCAAACAGTATGACCCATGGATGAGAGAAAATGTAGTCTGGTGATTGAAAAGCTGGCTTGAGTCAGAAGTTTGGATTACTTAGTAGTTTTGTATCCTTGGGCTATTTACATAAACTATTTGTTATACTTTATTCCTCAGAAAATTGAAATAACCAGTCTCACCATTATAAGGTGATTGTAAGGATTAAATGAGATAATTGAGTGGTCAAGGAAGCTCAAGAGTATCTGGCACATATTGGTCTGGTTTTCAATTGGTATATAAGATAATTAACTTTATGAGATATGAGATTAACTTTATGAGATTTATACAATAAAGAAATGAATCTGATGCTGGAGAAATAAAAGGAAGCAGTGGGAGGGGGTAAAAGAAGGGAATTGAAATGTGTCGTGTACATGTACCAATTCCTTATGGTGAAGGTAGGCGTTATGTACTGCAAATGTGTACTAATAAAAGTAAAAAAAAATATCATACCTGCTACATAAAACCTCAATAAATATTACATTCATATCATTATTAATGCTAATATAAGCTTGAACAGAAATTTCTATTTCTGTAGAAATTTATATTAAAATTTCCCCCCACATATTTTCTTTTTCTCTGGGAATTCCTCTATGAATTATATATTTGTTTTTAGGTCAGTGCACATACATTAATTTTTTTTTTTTTTTGTACCAGGGATCAAACTTGGGACCTTGAACTTGTAAGGCAGGCAGCAGAACCACTGAGCTACATCCCCAGCCCAATTCTTTTAAAGTTCTCTTTTCTTTCAAGTTACACATCACTAAAAGAGAGTCTTTTTTGCACCTGAATGGTTTGATTTCCTAAAATGACCCACACAGGTCAGTCCTTTAATGATAGGGGAGTTAGCCACAGGGTCATAGGCACATGAGAGAAGTATCACAGGTACCGAAAATACCTGGTAAATCCTGAGCGCTGATTACTTTAAACTTCTCTCAGTCCTTCTATGGGGGGCATATATTCCTCAAAAAGATAGAAATTCTATATGGTAGCAAATTTAAAGCAAGAATTTGAACAAGCCAAGTGGTTCAACAGTTGGGTCATGCTCAAATGTGCACTGCATATCCTACTCTTTTCAAAGTACTTTAAAAATTAAAATTCTTAACAATGACATTGATAACCCAGGCAGGACTATAGAGTCCCTTCTAGCAAACTCCCACATAGAAGAGCATCAGCATGAATTCTAGTAGGTATTCCACCACACAGATAGGCCAAATCCAGGATAGAAAGAGTCACAAGCAACAGGGAAGGAGGTGAGAGTCTGCTCTGGAGAATCAGGCACACAGTTGCCTGGAGAAGGAACTCTGGAAACTGTTAAGGCATTATTGCTGAATAGTGGGTTATTGAATATGGTCACACATTCTTCATTTTCTAAACATTTCCCTGAGGAACACGTAGAGATTATTGCTGTTTTTTAGGAAGGAGGACTGAATAGTGGATTTGGGACTTTCTGGATTTATAATAGTAAGCCTAAAAAGTAAAAGAGCAAGGGTATCATCTTCCTTCTGACAGGAAAATCTATCCTAATCTTAAGCATGCATTTCTCTCTTTCTTAAAAAGTACTTCCTTTTAAATATAATTTGACAAAGACCCTGCAAAAGAAAATTCAATTGGAATGTATTCTGCAACATACAGGGTAGAATTTTTGAAATATTGTGGGGCATTAATCTTGAGTTATGGCATCTAAGGTAGAAAGAAATGCATAGATCCTCTCACAAAACCTATTTGTCACATTATCTTCCAATATATAGGTTAAAAATATATATAATATGGTTACCTGATGGAATTATCCAATGATTTTAAACAAAAAAGTAGATCATTTAGAACTGGGCAATCCATTAATCAGAGATTACAGTTCAGTTCACTAAGGCTCAGTGCAAAATCTAATCAATCATACAAAGTATATAGGAAGGGTGTGGCAGCCTGTGCTCCATGAAAAAAGTTGGAAGTGACATTTCAGGAAAATGTTGTGTTTTATTGTCAGAACATTAGATCAAATTGTTTTGGATCCATTATGGATATGGTTGGTCCTCTTCTCTGCTTCTTTCATGTGTAGACAGAGTGCAGGTGAAATAAGCCCTCTGGCTTATTCTTTATTCTAAAAGAAGGATTCTGAGGCTTGAGAAATATGAATCATTCTGATAATTAAAGCCATAATTCTGATAATTAAATACAAGAAAAGGTAATGTAGAAAAGATCTTACCTGAGTTCCTGGATTAGAGAATCCATTGGCACTGCAGACAAAAAGAAAAGAAAAGAAGTAGGTGACTTGTAAAACTGAATGATTGGGCCTCTTCATCCACATAGAGATAATAACCAAAACAAACGGTTAATACAGACTCCACTTGGTTTCTCACTTGGTGATTTGATCATTTCCTTGTTCTCATCCTTTGGAATTAAGAGGACAGATGAGTATGTCCTAAGACAGGCTCACTCTGGGTCCAGTGCCTTCAGCGGCCCTGGGTCGTGACAATGATAGATTAGATCTTCCATATACCTGTCTTTAGAGCTTCACTGAAAAGTTATAAGAACACAAAGGACCTGCATGAACTTTACTATGAAACTTACTTTTCATTTTTAATAGGAAATTATTCAAAATAATTAAGTTTTTTTTGTACTGCTGGAGGTCAAACCCAAGAATTCCTACGTGCTAGGCAAGAGCTCCACACCTATCACCAAGATTACATATTGAATGAGTCTGAACAAGAATTCATATAAAACTGGCAAGATCGTACTAATTGAATGAATCCCAAGATTTTATTCCATAAACTTCCTACACACAAGAAAAGAGAAATAAGATTCAGACATGTCAATATCAACAAACTTTTAAAAATGAAAAGCTCATAGAGAAGAGAGCTTTGGTTTTTATGACTGAAAAGCTGGGAACTAAAGGAGCTCATGTTTATAAATACCTGCCTACACCAAGGATAAGCAGCATATGGAGGGAGACAACAGGTGGTTTTCAAGATTACTCATGCTTCATGAGAAACAGTCGTTTCTCTTCTAGAAGAACGTTTCGGCTCTATTTAAAGGTGTGTGTGCATGTGCCAAAAGAATTCAAAGTCCAAGAAGAACTGCAATTAAAGGCTCCACATTTTAAAAGTATGAAAGGGCAGAGTGTTTTGGGACATCAGTATAAAAGATCTGAAGTTCTCAAATTCAATCTCTAGAATCCTGATACACATAGCAGGCATATCCCAAAATTGAAACAAAACATTTTTCTTAAATCCGTATTCTGCTGAGAAGTTTGCCACATAAAAATTTAGTGTCTAGAAATACTATATTTCAAATATGAGACAATAGAACGCGATGAATTTAAAGCTGGATGTGATGTCGTGGTGTGCGTTTATAATTCCAGCACTTGGGAGGCTGAGGGGTGTCAGCCTGGGCTACACAGAGAGTTCAAGCCTGGCCTGGATGAATAGCAACACCTTGTCTCAAAAATCAATCAAAACAAAATAATGAGTTCACTTTAAGAGTAATGTTAACCAAAACTAAAAAATAATACAGAGCAAAGCATTATTCTTTATTTTATTCATATACATATATATATATATATTATTCATATATATAACAAAATGTTCCATTTGGTTAGCCACTTTCAACTCAAAACCCTTCCAGAGGATGCAGGCAGCCAGAGCTCAGCTCTTCCTCAGCAATATAGCCTTTGAGGAGGAGGGGGCAGCTATCCAGTGTTTTCAGAGACACAGTGAACCTACAGTTTTCCACTTAGAATTAAGGGTCACCAAAATATAGCTAATTATAATAAAAGTTATTTTCCTTAAGGGGTGTTATTGCCAGTCAATCCTGTTTTCCAGATGTTTAGATCATCAAGGGCCTGTTTATATTTCAATATTACATTACCATCTGTTGGTTACAAAAAGAGAGGGATAACCGGAAAGTTAAACCTTCCAAACGTTACTTTGCAGAGCTGCTGGAAATTCCCAGCAGGGATAGTCAAAAACAAACATCATTATTTTTCTTGAACTAAGTATAGATTGAGAGTCACTAAACCAGATAACATAAAAATCAAAACCAGCTTTGGCAGTAAACTAACAATTCAGTCTTTCCCCTTGATTATTAAAGGTCACTTCCACATGCTGAAGGTTTCCATCAAGCGTTCCTCTCCTGCTGAACCTTAGGATGTTTTGCATGATGTTCAAATCTACTCGGTATTGCATTTTATAAAAATTAGCATCATATTATCATTGGACTTTCAGAGTTCTTTTACTCTTGGTTCGTGATATTTTGTCTTTCAATGCCTACAGCCAGTGTCCTGGTTTGATTTGAATGAAAGAAGCCCCGAGGAAGTTGTAAGCGTTATTACTACACGCTAGGGACAGAGTACTGGCACTCCCATCTTTCACGGTGTGATGGGCACGGTGTCCTGGAACCTGCTTGCTAACTCACCCTCTGTTCCTTTAGAGCAAGTACGCAGCATATTATCTTCAGCCTCTGCATCCATCTGTAACATGAACACAAAGTCCAGAGGTCAGTCCTTTGACATTGACCAAAATATGAAAACACATAATTAGAAGTTCTGAAGGTAATTATGAAAAACAGAGATGCTTTCCATGCTCTTGAATTTGATCCTGGCTCTGCTGGGACCTAACTGTGACTGCCCTCACATTCCACTAGTTTTAGAGTCACATCTATAGCTGTCGGAAACCAGAGAAAACAGGAACAAGAGGACAGATGTCCTTGTCCACAAGTGTTTCTAGTGATTCAAACACTTCTGGCATTATAAAGATAGAAAAAGGATTGTCCGATCAACAGTGCTTGTGAAGGGAAAGAAATCTCTCATGCCAAACTGAAAGACTTCAAACTGATTTACTAAACCCTCATTCCTTTCCATTTCTAGACCTTCAGTATATACTTCTAAATTAGTAAAAATGTCTGCCTGTCCAAAGGACAACATGAAGGCAAACCCTTGTAATGCACGCAGAATATATCAATGGAAGTTTTGACCATCAACAAGGACCTATATTCACTCCCAGAACTCCAGAAGAGTATGGGTTATAATCATTTCCATGGATAAGGAAGGTGAAATTGGAGTGAGGTGAATGTCTGCATCAAAATTCCATCATCACTAAAATTTTTACAGGCAACCAAATAAATTATCAGGTGGAAGCAGAGTCTTTTGAAGCCTTTTGTTTCCATAGACTCTGACCTGACAACATCCACCCATTTTACTAGAATCCGCTAATCATATCCTCGTTTAATTCACTTCTGCACATTGTCAGAAGGAATTCTTAAATGTGAATAAGTTGCTCTGCTTGTTGAAAATCAGAGGCAGGCAGAAGGCGTGCTCTGTGGCTCCCATCCTTAAAGCCTGACAGGGCAGGGAGGCGGTGTGACTGCATGGTGATGTGAGCCTCATCTCTGCTCTCAGAGGCTAGGTTGTGATTGAAGGCACTGACCTGCCATAGACTTATAATAGGGGAGCAGGTGTGGCAATGATGGACTTTAATTTCCTTTAATAAACCTTTTATGTGCCACACTTTTACTGCCATTCGACGCTCTCCAAGGTCCTGCACATAATAGGTTCATTACTTTTGATTACTATAGTCTATTGAGACAAACAACTCCAGAACACACTATATATTATGTTCAGTTAAACCAATATAGACTATTTATCCATTGTGCATTTTTTCACCTGCAACACTACAGATGAAATTAACAACAGCTCTCCTAAGCTAAAACTATTAAAACCACCAGAACTCTTTTGTCATCGCTTCATAATAAACACCATACCAATAGCTGAACTGCTTTTTAAATTAGCAAACAAAAAGTGTTCGCTGCTTTGGGTGAACAGCAGTTGCTTTAGTCTAAATAAAATGGTTCATTGTTATGAATATTTTAAAACTACACAATAAGAGAAAACAACAGTAAAACAGTAGTGATTTTTTTCCTGCTGATTTTCTTTTAAAACCACATGAATTTATGACAGATGTGACACCGCCTGAGCTTAGGATGGCTTGGTTTACTCAGGATGGCGAGCACTGCCTGTGAAATCCCCCTCCTCCCAGGAGTGTCCCTGTTGCATACAAAGTGGCTCAACTCATGACAACACCCTCCATGTGCCACATGAATAACTAGATTAAGAGAGAGCAGTAGCAAGTGAGGGTTGAAATGATGAAGCCCATCAAATGTGTCTGAGGAAGCTACTCCCACGGGAGAGCATCCCTGCAACCTGAGTCTATTATCCTGCCACATGGGTGCTATTAACTTTCCCTCTTCAGCCCCTCTGAAAAAAATCCCCGTAAAGGCAAAGGAAGGTTGAACTCCCTGAGTTTCTTTACCAAAACTGAAACACACACTGCCAAGAGCACCAGCAGGCACACATAAAAGTTTCACCAACATACTTAATGTAACCCTCTTTCTAATAGTTTTAAACTGAATTCTATTTTGCAATTCTCTCTCCAACAGTCTGGGGTCTTGCTGCAACCCCATGCAGCCGCCTCTCCATTAGAGTCATTGGAAAGGATACATAAATATTCATGGACCTCTTCTTGACTGTGCTTGGAAAGCTGGTCTCATAAGTGTATTTTGTTGAGCTATTGTTCTCTTGTTGGTGTAGCATATACATCTAAAAACCGATAAACTGATCATTCATTTGTAAAATGAACTTTTCAAATTTAACTTGCAGGCTAAGTTGCAGGAGTGAAATAGATCAAGATTATAATTTACAAGCTGTCTGTGGCATCTTCCCAGTCTCCTTCATACCTGCAGAACCACACTAAGTTCAATGCATCATCATGTCTTGTGGCTCATTGGAGAGTAAGAATATTGGAAACCTAGAGCCCATGTAATTCTCATTTTGGAGTAGGTTTTAACTTTTTTTGGCATCGAACTCAGGTCCTTGCGCTTTCGAGGTAGGCAGCAGAACCACTGAGCTACATCCCCGGCCCTGGTTTTAACATTTACAAAATGGTTCTTTCTCCTCATCCATCTCAATTCAAAAATGGATCTTTGTGGGCTGGGGATGTAGCTCAGTGGTACAGCACTTTCCTAACATGCCCTAGAGCCTGGATTTTATCTCACACTGTAAAACAAACAAACAAATAGTAACAATGAAATCAAACAACAGCTTTTTGTTTTCTTGAGCCTTTTACTGGGAGTAGAAATTTCTAAATATTCTTCTCTTTTATTATTCTTATGGGCTTTAATAAGTTGCCAATGTGTAGGCTTAATTTCATAAAAATTAAATCTTATATTAAGTGAGTACCTTATTCAAGACATGTGTCCCTAGAGGACATGTGTCTACTCAGTGTATGTCTTGAGATCTGGGTCAGGGGTGGATTATCATTCTTTCTAATTCTTACGGAATTAGAGTGGAATTCCAAGGTTATGGTGTGATTCAGGAAAATGACCTAAATAACGCGTGCTACAATGTGGAAATTTCTAGTTATTGTTGAAAACTTTATTATTTTCCACTGGAAAAGGACACTAGATTATCTTCACTGCCTAGGACCCATAAACTACTGAAAAGTCAGCAGTTACCTTTGCAAAATTTAACAAGTTACTATGTATCTCAAAACAAAAATTTTATTTTAGAAAAGCTCCTTTCTCCAGATTTCTTAGGGCTTTTGTATACCTCATTTCATAGTTTATGGGTGAAAACAATAGAAGATCTTTTTTTGAGATTCCAACAATGGATTCTTCCTGTCTTTGACAATCTACTTTTCCATAGAGATAAGAATACTATAGATAAAATTCACTACTCTTTAAGAATAGGTATGTTTAATCTATAACGATTGATATATTCTGTATAATATTAATTTAGAAACTAGGAAAAGTGTTTTTTGATAAATATCACTGATAATAAAGCCAATAGCTTTTTAAAAAGTTTCATGTTCCAGTTTTCTTGGGAAAAGAGTAAATACAAGGAGAAAAGGCAAGAGGAAAAATTTATAAAATGAAGGGAAAGAACCAAAATTTGGAAGAAAGATGTGTAAGAATCAAAAATGGAAATAAGCAGATGGGAAATGAAGATGAAGAATGTCCATAGAGGAAAATTTTAATTATTAAATTGAATTTGGAAGACTCCCATTTAACTTCTTTCTACACTTACAGACCTATATAGAGAGGTATGAAGTGATTTTCAGGTTATTTGTATAAGACCATGTCTTCTTGCTGGAGCTTACATCAGAGGCAATAAAGAGACCTGGTACCTTCTTTAGGGCTGAAGAGAAAGTCCCAGAATTGCTTCTTTGTGAAAGGCAGAGATTCAAGGAGTAATACAGAGAACTGGAGTATGGGAAGATTTAGTTCCCTTTTATTTTTTGCTCAAAATCCTACTTTACCCTAATGGAAATAAATAAATAAAATCTCCAATTCTCCAAGGAACTATATAATCACTTCTTACTAATTGAGTAGAACAAATCTCTTGGTGGTGTTTTGTTTTCTTCTTTCAACGGAGCCCTACACAACAAACTCAATATATCGTTAGTATATACTTATAAAAGTAGGCTTGAGGTGGTTAATATTTGTAAGAAACGTCATGGTGATCACTATTTTTGAAGGTGCTCTCTGAGAAAAAGTTATACAATTAATACTGTCTAGTTAATATCTCCTGTAGGGATTTCTAACACGAGAAGTGCTCATGTGTTCAACTTTCAGCAATTTTCCTCCTTAACCAGATACCATCGTGTTCTTTCCCTGAAACGATGTGGTTTGGTATGTTGTATCATGTTGCTTTCGTGAGGTGTCCTTTCTGTCCTCAGGAACTTGTAAGGAAGGTGAGATTAAGTTCCATGGCTGCTAAGAAAAGGTCCTGAGTCCACTTGGGGAATTCTTTATTCTCAATGGATGCTTCCTTTTCAAAACTATTTTTTTTTAATGACAAGAGAAACCCAGGAAATTGGGAGAAAAAAAAAAACAACTAGGCCCAGAAAAGGAGACAACTATATTGTGCCAGTATATTAGGATGAAATTTGTCAGGATTGAGGAACAAAGAATCTGATATTGAGTGCCCCTTCTTTGACGACATTGGCCTCAATTTGTTATAAACATAGTTTTTTTGTTAGCCTAAAATCACAGCAAAGATGTTTACCAGTCACACAGGAAAAATTTGGGGGAAATGAGCTATAATATTAACAAAGGAAAATATTAATGTACAGAGAAGAATACCGAGATAGAATGTTTAATGGTGTGTTTTCCTCTGCTCTAACTTTCTTTTTACTTTTCTAGTTTTCTTTTCGTACATCTATTATTTGAAAAGAACAGGAGTACATTCAAGAAGTTTTTTTTAAAAAATCTATATTCTAACAAAAATGTTTTTTATATCATATATGATGATATATCTACAATTTTCTGAAATCTCCATCCTTTATTTAGGACATACTATTCCTGATATCAACACTCTTTCCTCTATGTCTTTTATTGTACTGTATTTTGATTTTGTACCGAACACTGAAGAGTTAATGATACTTCTTGTCTCCCCCAATCTCTCTTAATCCCCCA